AATTTAATTAATTACACAGCATTATTACAAAATGAATTGTATAAACTTTCTCTCGAGCAAGTTCTCCTTCATATTTGTCAATAAAATCACGAAAATATAAATTTGTTTGTTTGAGTGAATATAATTCTTTATAACTGAGAAAATTGAAAATATCAAGTTTTGTCTCCGTTGGTAGAGAATAAAACATTTTTTAGGGAAAATTTAATATCTTGGAAATTAAAAAAATATATTAAAAAATTTGTGCTAATTTTGAATTTGCGTATTTTCCATTTTTTCATTCATCTATCTTACTCTATTAGAAAAAATCGTCATCCCTTAAAAACAGTTTTTATGTAGATGGAGTTGTTTTTGGCGAAAACCCTTAGGTAGTTTAAATTAAAAGACAGCCTTTTTTCATTCTTTTCTTCTACCTACAATCTTCATCTACCTTTGTATTTCGTGGCAAATCCCAGTCAAACAGATAATAGAAAAGGAAAGTTAAGGAAAAAATCTGAGCATTAGGAGAAAGTGGGGAATCCACAATTAAAATAAAAAAAAATATTTAATCGAAAATTGACAAAGAATATTTTTAAAAATTGTATAAAATAAACAAACACTTTGTTGTTAATAATAATTTTTGTTGTTAAGTTTAAAGTAAAAATATTTAATTTTTGCGCTCTTTCTTACTAAATTAATTTTTATAGGGTATTTATCAAATAGTATGTAGTATTGAAAAAATAAAAATTTTAATTCTACCCAAGTTAATGTTAATACATATGGAACAAAAATGATTAAAGAGAAGAAGTGTGGTGTGTTAAGAAATCACTTTATAACATTTCCCAACCTCTTTGAATTTTTTGATTTCTCAACAACAATGTTTTAATTTTTTGTAAAACTGCAAAAGATTGCTCATGACAGAAATAGTGGTTGATTTTAGTTAGATTACCTAATTCTATCGATTTAGGTAAATATCAAAGGCGAAAATGATATAAATTATTTTTAAATTAAATATCAATCTTCAAACAAATACAAACCCAAGAAAAATTCTTATTTTATATATTTAATATTTGTGGGCGAAAAAAATTAAGAAATAAATTTAGTGGTTCTTAATAAAATTTTGAAATACAACTTGAATTTTCTAAATATTTACGTATCTTTTTAGATAATCAGAATGCTTTCTCTATCACTAGAAGTTCATCTTCGAATATTAAAATATCTTAATTTCAACGAATTAATCTCTGTTAAACAAACTAATTCTTACTTTTGCAATTTAATCACCAAGTATGAGGGAGAATTGGCACGAAGAAAATTTTATTACCTCTCACTAGTAAATAGTCATTAAATTAATTATATTTCGAATTTATTTTAGAAAAGTAAAGATGAATTATATTCAGATAAAATAATTAAACTTCGTTCCAAAGATTTAGAATTTACTTTAACTGATCAACTTAAGGAGAAGGTTTAACTAATTTTAAAATAAATTATACATTTATTTGGCTGTAATGTAGTGTACCGGTGGTAAAGTTAGGGACATTCCACTCACAGCTCGCCGAGCTCTTTCGAATGGCATTTGTCACGCCCCGAACTTTTACCACGGTTACATTCACTATATTCATTTAGTTTTTCAGTGGCAAGCAGCTATAGCTAAATCAACTCGATTGTTTTCACATTCTGGCAAAAAATTATTTGTTTGCATGGTTATGACAGGTTGTAAAAATATATATAATTGTAATGTAATAATTAATTTTAATCAATTTATACACAAATTAAACTATAATTTTTTAAGTCCCAAAAAATTTTTTTTATTAATATCCATTTAGATGACGTACATTCCCCTTATTATATTTTAAAATTGCCAAACCTTCCAAAAAACTTTAAACAAATGATTACTATTCGTTACTGGTTAGAACGACTATTTGAATGTGACTTTGAACGTGCTTATTTTGACAACATTGTATTTAATCCAGAAATGATCAATATATTATTTGATAATGACAAAACAATTTCTCCTCAATTTAACATCCTAAATCCAACTCTATATACTCGAAACAAAACATTTGAAAATGTTTTGAAATTTTATTTAAATCATTTATCAAATTCTGAATATATTGAAATTAATTTGGATTCTGTTGACATTACAGAAAAACGGACAGAAATTTTATTCAATATTTTAAAAAATGAGGGAAATAAATTAAAAAGAATTTGTGTTAGCAGTTACGAGTTAACAAACCTCTATGATCTTATTTTAGAAGTAAGTCGTTTACAAATACAAAGTTAATAAATAATAAATTTTAGTACATAATAACATCGAGAAACTGTCTTAAAATTGTACCTGTTATTGAGTTTAGATTTTGTGTTCGCCCTGATTTTAAATTAAGTGAAAGAGCAGAAAACGTTGAAATTAATGATTCAGATTATCCATATGAAATATATACAAGATATCAAATTGCCAATATTCACAATCCAAATGTGAGATTTTCATTTCTTAAAGAAGATATGCCTGTTACGGCACTTTATTTCATTTATATACGGAAAATGGAAGAGTAGAATTTGAGAAAACTAATTTGTTGATTTACCTGTATAAAGAAATATTTTTAAAAATTGTTGTTTTTTAAGATAAAATTGTTTTTGTAAAATTTGTTTGTATCATATTTAACAGGTTAAATCTAACAGGTCTATTTTTAAATATACTCAAAGGTTTTTGAAGATAAAATTATTTTAATTTATTCTAAACTTTTCCCCATTTTTCGACTTGAATACATACTGCCATCTTCTACAACTACCAACAATTGTTAAAAACAAAAATCAAATGAAAATTGTTTGTTTCTATTTTAAATTCATTTTAACAAACATGGTTGGATTATTATAAACCAGTATCATAGTTTACATGGGATGAAAAGTCTAATAGAATCCGAGCATTAAAATTAAAATAGGTAATAAAATCTAAATTGAAAATAGAAAATGAATTTCTTATTACTTCATGATTTCATCGACATTGAGAAGGTCTTGTGTCCTTATAGTTTGCTTAAGTATTCTGACAATTAAACAAAATTATTTAAAAACAAAAGGACAAATGAAAAAATTCCGTCATAAGTCCTGGAAATTGACTCAGGCAACCAAAAAGTCATTCGAAAGAACTCGTCGAAATAAATTGAATGACATCAAAATTACCTTGATTGAAAAGTTACGATACGAAAAATAGATTTTTATGACTCCTTGTAGATTTTTTTCTTAAATTTTTTTGTAATTATAATTATTTTTTTAAAATAAAGAAGGGTCCTTTTTGATGCCTTTTGGTGTTAAAGATCCTTCTTTCTTCATAAAATGACTAAACCCGATTAGAAAATCAAAGCTTTATTTAATTTTAATAAATATTTAAAAGCGGGGATGTTTAAAGGAAATATTTAAAACAAAGGTCTGCCTGCATATAAAAATAAATGTTTATTATTAATTTGGATAAATTAATTTTTATTTTTTTAAATAAATATTGTTTCTTTATTAGCAAGAAATTAAATGTAAATGGATTTAATTTTTAGCAAAGATTTTAAAAATTTAGCAGAATTCTTTAATTAATTTATTTTTAAATTTTTGTGTTGCAAAAATAAATTAATAAATTTTATTTCCTCTTTAAGAAATTATTTTTAGAATTAATTATTGCCAGTTATACACTGCGTTCCAAAATGATACGCACCCCTAGTTTTTTCCTGTTATATGAATTTTCCTATGTTATTTTAATCAGATATTTTATCTATTGATTCTACATGATAAATGAAATGTTTAAACAAGAAAATAAAAATATCCGTAAATTATTTACATTTTTATGCCAATTTACTTAAAATTTTAGTGTTCCAAAATTATACGCACCCCCCTAATAAAATTTTTGTTTTACAATATAAAAATCCACAAAAATTTTTCTGAACATATCTATCAATATAGATAAGAAATAAAAAATATGAAGTTCAGATGTACTTCCATCATCGAGATCTCGTGATCCGAAAATCAACATAAAACGGGGGTATAGGTCTTTAAAAAATATTTTCGACCCCTTACAGGTAAGATAAAAATTTCATTTTGGGCTTATTTGAAAGCCCTTGAAATTTGCTTAAAATAAAATATCATTTATTTATATCCCATAATTATAAAATAATTAAAATTTTCGTAATTAAAAGAAACACAAAAATAAATTTATAATTTATTTTAACTTTATTAATTTGTGCCTCTGATTTAATTAAAATTTTAGTAGTAGGAATAATTGTTATTTTTGTACTTGTTGTTGAACTTGTTATTATTGCTTGTTTACTAGTTGTTATTGTTGTTGTTGTTAAAGGTAAAAGGACTTCTTCGTTACAAAAATTATTATTACATTTAACACATTTTTGATATTTTGAAGGGCATTCTCCACAGTTTTGTTCAACTTTATTTTAATTTTTATAAAAAATATTTTACTAAAAATAACCTCTCCAAAAAACATCCCTAGCAATATAACAACTGTCATAAACATGGTGACATGTTTTATTTATTTTTAAATTTTGTTGGAATTTTGAATTTAAATGGTAACATTTTATAGGAGGGGGAAGTATTGTTTCTGTATTACATAAAGAGGAGGAACATTCACTGCATTTTGCTAGATCTTGATGACTTTTACATTTACCACAGCCTTGAACAAGGCCTTTAAATAAATCATATAAGTATGTGTGATTTTTTGAGGCAAAGTTAACTCTCGAAATAACTAAATAAAGTAGAATGGAGAAAAGAAAATGTTTTATTGTATTTTTTATCCAATATTTAAACAACACACGCATACAACATTTTCGTACGTCTTTTATAAATGCATTAAAATTAGAAAATTTTTTTTGAATAAGCTTTAAAAAATTAGATTCTAGACTAAATTTGGCATCTAAAATTGGGGTCACGTAGAATATAGGGGTTATGTAGGGAGAGGAATATATTTCTGTTGCAGTTCAGGAATAATAAAAAAGTTGATTATATCAAGACTATTTCGAAATTTTACTTAACTAATTTTAAGATAAATATATAAATTTACCCATTTTATTTTTATCAACCCCAACAAAGCAAACACCAACTTTACAAACCCTCGTTCCCTTATTTTTTATCCAATTTAAAGCACTCTTCTCCCAACAAAATATTTGACTTTCAAAGAAAGTATCAGTATTACAAAATGAATTTTTATGGCATTGGGCACATTGTATATTGCTTAAATTTGTTTTATTTTTTAGACACTTTCCACATCCTTGTTCTACTAAAATTTAAATTTTTTATTCAAAATATTTTCATTTTATTTACATTTTCCATCAAAATATCGACGAACTAAACAACTTCTTTCCTTACAAATAACAGCTCCTAACGACTTTTCTTCTTTCCCTTTATTTAAACAAAAAAATGTTTTATCAAATAATTCTTTTGTATTGCAAAGTTGCCCATTACAATGAACATTTAAAACATTTATTTCGAGTTTAGGTCCTTTCCCACATCCTTGCTGAACTAAAATTTAAAATTAATGTTGAATAATTTGTAATCAGTCAAAGTGCCCGTTGCTTTATTTAAATTTCGGATAGTTTTTGAACTTTTTAAGATTGGGCCGAAAAATATCCTAAAAATTTATTAAATTATCTAACTACTGGTCCAAAATCATGTGGCTCCTAGACACGAAAAAATGTTTCATAGCAAAGCTTGAACTCTAGAAAGGATGATATGATATCACGGATGGGATCTCCTTCTTGTTCCGTTTACTTACGTCTTTTGATTTTAAAAATATGAAAGGATCCATCCTTACACAAATAATTATACACGTTTTATACACGTTTCATAAGATTCCTATTTTCACAAAATTCCAACTCCATAAAAGCATATTCCATTTAAATACCTTTTTTATTCCTCACAGTATAATAACAAAATCCATTCCATATATTTAAAGGACATGCAGCAATATCTCTAACCCAACAAAACCTTACTTCTTTAAAATACTTTTCTGTATTGCATAAATCTGTTTTACATTCTCTACATGGAATTTTATTTGTTGAAGAACGAGGACATTTGCCACATCCCTGTTTTGTGTATTTTTTAAAAATTGTTTCTTCAGAATTTCCAAAACCTAAAAAATCTTTTTGTCTCTTACATCCCTTCCTTAATTACCTTTATTAACATCCACAGTAATAAAACAAAATTTCGAATTGCAAGGTCTACCCCCTTCCTTCTCGTTTCCATTTTCTTTTCTTTCATAACAAAAAACACTTTCCTTTAGTTTAGCTTTTATATTACAATTTAGTCCTCTACAATCAACACAGGAACTTTCAATTTTATTTTCATCACAAGTACCACAACCAGCCTTTGAGCCTAAAAATGTTTTTATTTTTACATGATCCTGCCAGGCTTTTGAGCTTAAAAATACAATGTCTTTATCAGTTTTTTGGCTTTAAGGAGTATAATTATGGGTGGATTTAAGGGTTATATTCAGTAAATTCTTATTTTCATCAAAATATAAGCAGCTAGTTTTTGAACTGCCCCTATCTCGAAATCGAATATTCAATTATTAAAAACTCAACTTTAGCAATATAACAATCCAATTTACCACAACCAATAACTCCCTTTCCATCACCTTTAAAACAATAACTATGAGGAAGATCATTCCCATCATTACATAAATGCTTATTACAATTTATACATGCTAATGAAGGACATTTTCCAATGCCTTTATTTACTAAAAATTTTAAATTTAAATGAAATATTTTTAATACAAACAACAAAACCTCCATTATATTTTGTTCTTTCTGCAAAACAAGGAACATCTCCCTTTGTTTTAATTTTTCCATTATTTGTCCAACAATATTTAGATATTATTTTTTCGTTATTACAATTTCTTGTTGTGCAATATTTACAAAATTCTGATTCTTTATGATGTGGACACCCCCTGATCGAATCTCTACACCCTTGTTCCACTAAAATAATTATTAAAATTTTTAAGAATTTTTTCTCACGCCTTTTCCATCCTCGCGTCGATTAATAAAACATGGTTCCTTCCAATAGTCAGTCAGTCCTACAGTTTCATAGCACATTTTTCTCTTAGGTTCTAATTCATCCCAGCCTTTAATAAGGCAAAACAGTACCCTTTCAAATTCTGCTTGTGTATTACAAAGTTGCCTGCTATAACATTCAAGCAATTGTATGTTCGTTTCTTTTGACCAATCTGGAAGCCCGCATCCTTGCTTAACTGGAATAACAAATATACATCTTTACCGTAATATGTCGGCAAACCACCGTGGGCTGACATATTTTTCTAATAGAATGACTTTTATTGTGACTTTGGGAGCTAGCTCCGGAACCGGCGGAGCTGATTCGTGGTTACAGTGAACAATGGTACATAAATAAACCCCTTTTAATCGGTAAAAGCTCGGTTTAGGTGACACCTTTTTCTCATTTTAGCTCCGATGCAAAAACTGAGGAAGAAGTGCGTATTCGATATTTTAGGTTTGCCAAGAGTGAATTAAATGTGCTGAGTCCGAATATGATTCCTTAATTTCTAATGACTAAACCTAATTCGGCCTGGTCTAATTCATGTCCGAGATCGGAATAAATAAAATTTGAACTCAAAATGAACTCAACATACTAAATTACCTACTGGCAACCCTCAAAAATATTGTAAAGCACTTCTTTCTTCCTATGGAGATGAAAAAATGAAAAAAGGTGCCAAATAAACAAGGATTTACCCTTGAAAAACAACCTATGCTTTCATTGATTACGGCATAATAGCACACGCCTTGGTATGTTTCTTTAGCGCATGAATGAACTATATTTCCTTCCCAACAAAATTGGGTTTTCCGAAATAACAACTCCCGTTCATTACACGCATCGTCTGTGCATGTTCTGCATGGAAATTTATTTGATTTGCAATCACCACACCCTAGTATATATCCTCCAAAATTTCTCCCCCAGCTGATATCAGCGACAACGTCTTTCTCTTTTACTGAAATATATATTTTGGCATAAAATTATCAGTAAGAATATTTAAACAAATGTGTTTGTTTTAAATTAATATTGAGGGGGAGAAGAGGGGGGGGGGGGTTAAAGTCAAAAAGTTTGCTATTTTCTGAATCTTCTATAGTTGCCTTTTATCTAATGACTACAACTTTTAAAAAATAAAATAAAATAATAGCCTTTTAAAACATGGTAAGCAAGGCATTTTTCTTTACATTCATGATATTCCGCAGTAACATCACTTGCCCATTGATCAACTTTTTTCCAACAGATTAGCGTTTTGTTACCCTTAATTATCTACATATGTGTTTTTTGAATTTTGTAATTAACTTAAAATTAATAATTATAGTCGAAATAATTATACATATTATTTAATTTCTTTAATTACCTGGAATTTTATTACAAATATAATTATGATTATTTTGTTAAGGTAAAACATTTATTGCATGTCAGCTTTTGTTTATTAAGGTTCGAAGGCAATTATTAGGGCTGGACATAGATGAAAAATCAAAAAATGCGGATTAGAATATGGATAAAAGATTTCAAAATATGAGGAAGATTTCAAAATAATAGGGGTATTTGTTTAGTGGGGCAAGTCGGGGATTTATGGCAAGGTCTAATTTCTCTTGAAATATGGCGAAATAATTATGGAAAGGATGCTTAGATTTTTAAAAGATACCAGCGCGGATAGTTGTTTTTTGCGCGTTTCAGACTAAGCATTTCATTAAAAATATGGATTTTACTATACAGTGCGGTGCATATGTTTAGACTCAAACACCTAGCTTTGATTAAAATTTTAATAAAATTTTTATACTTTATATTTTTCAAAATTTTTTTTCTTTTTTATATAACATTTTTAATGTATTCTTATTAGGAAAATTCATTCTGGGAAAATAATTTAAATTTATAAGTTTTTTCGACTTAGGTGAACTGAGGTCAAATTTTGCTGGTGCAAATGTTTAGACTCAAACTTTTAATCGAAAATATCTCGTAGTATAATGTCCCAAAAATTTTACAAAAATTCCAGTGGACATTTCAATTGATATAGAATGGACATTAAAAAGAACGAAGTCCGTAACTTCATTCATTATCGAGATCTCAGATCTCAAAAATCACGGGAAATCGGGGTACAGTACTTTAAAAATTATTTGCCCCCAGGGCTTATATAAAAATTTTCTTTTGGGCTCGTTAAAAAGCCCATAAAATTTGCTACAAAATAGTCCAGGTCTCAGTTATTCTAAAAAATAGCTGTTCGACATATACCGACTTTCACATAAAAATGGCCAAAATCTTCTAAAATACCCTCAAAATGATAACTTAAAAAATTGTCCTACCTTCAACTCAATGAGTTTTTATTGGAAAGATAAAACCTTGGACTATTTTGTAGCAAATTTTATGGGCTTTCTAATGAGCCCAAAAGAAAATTTTTATATAAGCCCTGGGGGCTTAAAATAATTTTTAAAGTACTGTACCCCGATTTCCCGTTGATTTTTGAGATCTGAGATCTCGATAATGAATGAAGTTACGGACTTCGTTCTTTTTAATGTCCATTCTATATCAATAGAAATGTCCACTGGAATTTTTGTAAAATTTTTGGGACATTATACTACGAGATATTTTCGATTAAAAGTTTGAGTCTAAACATTTGCACCAGCAAAATTTGACCTCAGTTCACCTAAGTCGAAAAAACTTATAAATTTAAATTATTTTCCCAGAATGAATTTTCCTAATAAGAATACATTAAAAATGTTATATAAAAAAGAAAAAAAATTTTGAAAAATATAAAGTATAAAAATTTTATTAAAATTTTAATCAAAGCTAGGTGTCTGAGTCTAAACATATGCACCGCACTGTAATTTGCAGTTAAATTATTTACTGCTTAAATAAATCAAATTAAATATTAAGTGACATTAAATTAATTTATCCATTTAGAAATTCATTTTAGTGGTATTCAATGTGTAAAAATAGAGAAATAGGTAAATAAAAATTTCCTATTTTGAAAATTATAATATTTTCATTACATCTATGCATTATTATTCCTATATATCCCCTTAAATCTCAATAAATTAAAGAGATTGTGGGATTTTGATGATTAAAAGGGATATCATAGAGTTTGAAGATTAAGAGGATATCTGGGTATTGAGAGGGATATCGAGGAATGAAGTTAGGAGGGTTGGAGAGATATTGAAAGATTAATGAATTTTAGCGCCGCAGGCGAAAATTTTGAGAAAATTGGAAAAAATCTTCAGTTGGAAATATGCTTCAAAAACTCTCGGAAATCGCAAATTATTGCCAAAATTTTGGAAATCGGAAGGAAAAAACGTAGAAATCAAAAACCCGATCTACCTTTGCCCTGTTCTTAGTTGACCGGGAACAATTTCTGGTTAGATTTTTTCAGAATACATATGTATTTTGTCCCATTCTTCCTACAGTACGTAAATGTTTTTTGTGAATTTCTTTTCGTTCAGTTATTCAGTTTTTTCAATTAAATAATTTTATTCTAAAAGATAAATTACAATATTTACAATTATAATATCAAAAGCATTTAGTTAAATAATCAGTGAATTTCTGCAATTTTATTCCGCTCCTCAATAATGGTCAATGGTCCTGTCACCTTAATATATTTTTATAAAAACTTTTAAAAATCAAAAATTACCACAACATATCGAATAGCCCAAAGAGGCAATTTATATTCATATTGAAGAATTTCCTGATTATCATAATAAATTTCGAAATTTGTTTCTGTAGTCAGGAATGCCATATTAATCAGTTGACCAATTTGCAATTTTGGATTTAAATGTTTAACAAAACTATCACAACTATATTCCTTTCTCTTAAATATTTTTCAGTTTTTAGAAACTATTTTATAAGAACGATAGGCAAAACCCGATCCTCAAAATACTGCCTAAGAAAAAATCTGTTAAAGAGGAGTAGTCATAGGTGCGGGGGTGTCGTGGCTGTCACTAACCTAATCCTTTTGATCTCACTGTCGTGGGGGTGGCGGGGTCTGGTAAAACCAAAAGGGAGAGGACATGTCGGGAATAGTGCGGCAAAAAACCTAAAGGGAGAGGGCATGTCGGCAGCGTCGTGGAGGAGTTGAGGTCACATAAACCTAAAGGGAGTGGACATTTCGGCAGCGTCGTGGGGGAGGAGGGGAAAAGAAAAGAGAATGCCAATATTTGGGGGGTGGTCAGACAAAAGGAGAGAGTATGTTGACCTATTAGAGGGGAAAATCTAAAGGATGAGAAACCTTTTGAAAGTGGATGTGAGGGAGGATAATTGTATAAATCACTGTCGCGGGTGGCAATAAGAAAGTCAAATCCTTTTGACCTAAGATCAAAACCTTTTGAGCGGGTGGTCAAAGCTGACCTTTTACGTCGTCGTCGTGGCCGACTTTTTGACTTTTAAGACAAATCCTTTTCATTTGTTTTGACTTGAAGTCAAATCACTTTGACAGGTCGGTGATAACCAGCTTTTCCTCTCCATATCCTACCCCTCTCATCCCTCCTCTCTGATACTACTCCTCCTCTCCTTATTCTTTCTCCTCCCCATTTTATCTTCTCCGATATTTTCTTCTTCCTCCTCCTCCTCCTCCTCCTCCTCCCTCATACTCCTCATATCTTATCTGATCTCGACTTCTCCTTTCCTCCTCTATCCTACTCCTCTCATCTTCTCCTCTCTGATACTACTCCTCCTCTCCTCATTCTCCTTCTTTCTCCTCCCAATTTCATCTTCTCTATTTTTTCCTCCTCCTCCTCCCTCCTACTCCTCCCATCTTCTCTGATCTCATCTTCTCCTCTCAGTTCTTCCTCCATGATACTATTTCCTTCCTCCTCTCCATATCCTACTCCTCTCGTTCTTTTTCTCCTACTCCTTTAATCTCCATTTTCTTCCTACTCACTCATCTCCTCTCGTATCATCTTCTCTTCTCCTTTTATCCTCTCCTCTCCTTTCCTTTGCGGGTGAACAATCACCATCATGGAGTAGAGGGGTCTGACAAAATCAAAAGGATGAGGACATATCGGTAGAGTTGTGGTGTTGAAGGGTAAGTACACAGTGGAGAAAAAGTATTTTCTAAATTTGAAGTGTCATTTATCTTGTTACAATCTTATAGAACCATTCAACAAGTGATCTATTACCTCATCGAATAATCAAATTGTTCTTTGTAATTAGCCAAACAGTGTTCGTGTTTATTATTTGCAATAATTTTTATCGTTTTTATAAAAAAACATGTGCAATATTAATGTTTTAAAGTGGTAGATTTTAGGGAGAAAAGTGCATATTTAAGTGTTAGAAGATACAATGAGCATAATTAACCTTTAGAAGTTGATGATTTTAGGGAGAAAAGTGCATAATTAAGCATTACAAGTTGTAAAAAGCATAGTTTGGAGTTTGAAGTAGTTAATTTTGGGGGTAAAAGTGCATATTTAAACAAAAGAAAGTGCAAATTTTATATTTTTTTAAATCCACGTATTTTAGGCATGCGCGAGTGTTTTGGGGATGTGCGCGTGTTTTGAGTATGCGTTTGTGTTTTTAGAGGCGTGTCAGTTTTAATAATGTTGTAATCCACTGAAAATCCGAGTATAAAAGGGTGGCGATTTTGGATTTTTGTATCATTATTTCAAAATGAATCAAAATTTGTTTTCCCAAATCCTCCCAGAAGTAGATTTTAATATCTCCTCGAGTGGAATAACCGTTTTAAGTTCTCGACTTACTACTCCTAGGTTTATTCCTTACGACCAGTCAGGGAGATGTAAGGAGTGCAAGAGCACAGAGGTGGAAATTGATTTTATTGTGACTAAGGAAGGGGTTACCATCTACTGTACACGAATTGGCTCAGGTACCCGATTTGTCCCATTCGATACAGTTTATGAGTTGCCCACACATTGCTTTTTCGAAGTCAGGAACAAAGGGAGAGTGTTCAATGTTCCTCATGGAGTACAAGCGCAACAGATAATCCATCAAAATCCCAAGAGAGGGAAAAGGAAAATTGATGAGCTGCCTACTCTTACTCCAACTGCTCCAACTAATAATTTGTCTTCTCCTCCTCATAGCTCCCCTACTCCTCCTTTACATTCTCCTCCTCGAGTTGATACTCCTCGACCTACTACACCTCCAGATGAAGTTCCGTTTGAGAAGGAGCTCCAAGAATTTTATGATAGTTTAATGGCAGCTACAACTGGATTATCTTCATCTCCGAAGAATCTGGAAGAGAAGGTTCAGAAAGAAGAGAAAATAGATGAAACAAATGTTTCTATATAAGCATTAGTGTTTACCCTCTAATTTGTTTTTTTTCGTAAATATTATAATTATGGAATTACAATCATTTATTAATAAAGACTTAAATTTTAAACTACCTTTTGGTATGATTTTGTCTGGGCCAAGCTCAAGTGGAAAAAGTTCATTCTTATTAAAATTTATTGCGGACTCCCAAGATTTGATCGAACCCAAGCCAAAAAGTATACTGTATTGTTTTGGAGAGATGAACGATAATATCCCGATCCTTCAAAAATCAGGAGTTAATGTTTATGCTGGAGTTCCTCCTGAGGACTTGATAAAAAAATACCCAAAACCATTATTGTTAATTCTTGATGATTTGCTCCTATCTATAGATGAAAAATATCTTTCGGAGCTATTTACAAAAAAGTCGCATCATCAAAATTTTGCAATTGTTTTTGTTACACAAAACCTATTTGAAAAGAAGATTAAGGTTGCGCGACAAAATGCCCAATATGTTGTTTTAATGAGGTCTCCGAATTCTGCACTCTCCGTGAGAAATATTGGTGTACAGTTATTTCCTCGTCAGTTAGACTATTTCCTCGATGCATACAAACAGGCAACAGATGAACCTTACGGATATTTGCTCATCGATTTGCATGCATCCTCAGACCCAGCTCTAAGACTCCGGACAAACGTATTTAAAGGCGATGAAGAGAAGATAATTTTCATTTCCAAAAATGTTTAGTCAATTAATTAGCGAGAATAAAGAATTTTTACGCTCTTTAGCGCATACAAAATCTGAAAGTAGAAGCAGAAAAATTTTACTAAAAGCAGATACTAATCAATTGTTATCAATTGTTGAAATTTGTTTAAATATTGTAAAATCTCGTTTTAACCTTAATACTCGTCAAAAGAAACGTTTGATACCTCATGTAGATTTTATTCGTCAAATAAGCCGTGCTAGGAGTGAGCGGGGAGTAAGAAAAGTTTTAAGGCAAAAAGGTGGAGGAGTAGGAGTATTTGCTGCTCTTCTCACTCCTGTTTTAATGGAGCTAGCTCGAACAATTAGTATAAAAGCCTATCAAAATAATTCAAATCAACCATAAATTTAAAAATAATGGCAAAGAAATTAATTCTAGTTCCAGAAGAGATTTATAGAGGACTTACTTCAAATAATTATGGGGATCCAAATTTAGATTTCACAAAGAGAGCGGTTGAGAAGGCTAAAATTAAAAAAGAAAACCTCTCCGCCAAAAATATTCATTACAACCAAGAACTAAGACGCTACCTGAAATTAAGGAATGAGAGTGAAAATAGACCTGTCAGAGTCGAAATGGTAGCTAACCCCAAAGGAGCAATTATGAATAGTGATGTTAACAGACCTGCAACAAATATTACAGACGATAATGATGATTTATGGATGAGCGATGATCTTTCGTATTCTGCCTATCCACAAGAGCCGCCGGCCTTATCATATAATATTGTTCCCCCTTTGTCAAATTCTTCAATCGAACAAAGAACCCCCGAAAGGCGACGACAAAATTTATTAAGGGCTGGAATTTCCCCTACTCCTCCTAACCCTAGACAAAAAATAAAGAGAAAACTTGAGGGGGACGATTATGGACAAAATAAAAGACAAAATTTGATTAATTATAAAAATGAGGCTCGAAATGAGTATTTGAAAGTTTCTGAAAAGGCTAGAAATAAATTGCAAAAATTAGAAAGGAAAAAGTTATTGAAAAATTGGAAAATTCCTTATACTCCTGAATATAACACAAATCCTCCTGTTGATGATGATTTTCCTCCATCTCCTCCCAACCCAATTCTCCCTAATATTCCTGAAGGTATTGATGCTCCCCTTGTATCTGACCATCTTCCTCCTAGACAAATTATAAAAAGGGGAAAGACAGAAGAGTTTGAGGATACAAAGAGATGGAAAAAAGGATATGATACAAATAAAGAAGCTATGTTGGATCGTGAGAAAAAAAGGCGAGAGTACTTAAAAAGAAAATTTAATATTAGAGAACAAAAGTTTCCTATTGACCAATCAGCGTTATCTAAAGCTCGTAGAGATGATGATATCCAAAGACGTCAAAAATTAAAAAGAAAATGGGATGGTCCAGACGAAAGTCCTTTAATCGCATTGAAAAGAGTGAAACCTGTTACAAAAATACAATCAGCAAAAGCCGGTAGAGAATGGATGTTAAGACTTATAAAAGCTAAACGTAAAGAAGATGGTATAAAAAGATTTAAACCTACTCTTTGGTAAAGAATTTTAATAAAAAATGGCGGATCCTACAAAACTTTTGAACCACCTTTATAATGATGCAGATTCGCCTGCAGCTTTTTCAGGAGTTGATCGACTTTGGTATGAAGCAAGAAAAGTTATCAAAAATTTACCTAGAAATATTGTTCAGAATTATTTGGAGGGGCATAGGACTTATACGCTTATGCGTCCTAAAAGGGTTAATTTTAAAAGATCAAAAACTATAGCGGCAGGTTTTATGACAGATGTGCAAGTAGACTTGGCAGATATGCAGGCTCTCTCCAGGCATAACAAGGGAAATAAATATATTCTTCTAGGGGTTGATGTACTTTCTAAGCGTCTCTTTGGCGTTCCTGTTAAATCAAAAGGCTCAAAAGATATGTTAGATGCATTCAAAAAGTTAATTAGTCAAATGCCCATGAAACCTCATAGGATTTTCTCAGATAAAGGGTTAGAATTTAAAAACAAAGTTGTAAAGGAATATTTTGAAAATGAGGAGATTCAAAAGAATGAGGCTACTCATTCGACCGTTAAAGCTTCTGTAGCTGAAAGAGCAATAAGAAATGTAAAACAACGGCTCTATAGATATTTTGCGCAAAACAAATCACTAAACTGGATTGATATACTTGGTAAAATATTAGATGGGATTAATAAGTCAAAGAGCAGGGCGCATGGGATGCGTCCTATTGATATAAATTTTTCTAATGCACAAGAGGTGTGGGACCGAATGTATGCAGATGAATTTTCATCAAAGGAAAAGAAAAGTAAAGCAAGGCTAAAGGAAGGAGACTATGTTCGTACTAGCATGAAAAAAGGCTCCTTTGAAAAAGGTTATATTCCAAATTGGGGAGACCAAATTTTACGAGTAGATAAGGTTCAAGATCAATTTTATCCCGTCAGATATAAGATTATTAATGATAACGGAGACAAGTTTAAGGGGTATTACTATCGAGAGGAGCTAGCTCGTGTCAAAAAGGATGCTGATACAGAATATAGGATAGAGAAAGTCATAAGAAAGAAAAAGAGAGCAGATGGAACATATGATGTTCTTGTAAAGTTTGTAGGGTATCCCGAAAGGGAGTGGATTCATGAAACCCAACTAGTATAAAAGGGTTCATTTTATTTTATTTCTTTCATTTTAAATAAAAATGTCGAATAGTTTTTATGTTTGTTTATTGAGTAATGTTTCGGATTATCCACAAAATCAGCCGAACAAATTTCGTGTTCACTTACCCAAACCCCTTTATTTTACCGGTGACTGGGTCTGTGGTGTCCATAGTATAAGCTATCCATATTCTTGGCCTTCTACTGTTGGGACTCTTGACGAGCAATGGATAGATATAAATTTTACAGATAACAATAAAATGGGGCAAGTCATAAGAATTCCTGTTCCAAAAGGCTCCCACAATACACCAGAGGAGCTCCTTCAGTTTTTGATTGCTACCTTAGAACACCAAGGTGCAGCTTTAAAAGCTTCGTCTCTTGAACAATCAGATGGCTTAGTGAAGAAACCAAGCATACTAGCAAGGGATAAACGCGAGATTGACCCTAAAACTCCTCCTAGAATTGAAAAAGATATAGAATTACCTGTAACTCCTCCATTAACTAGCCCAACGAGTGAGAAAATAGAGGAATCTATTTATCCTGTAACACCTCCTTTATCAAGTCCAATATCAGATAACGAGACACGCCAAATAATACCAAATACGCCTTCTACGATTAATCAAGAACAAACACCTCCTAAGAAAGACCCAGACATAACTAACAAACCCAATCTCATAAAATCTTTAACACCTCAAAGAGTCGAATCTCAAACAAACAAAACGGAAAATAAAATACAAACAATAATTAGCCCGCCACCCAGTGAGTCAACATCTTTGAGAACAGAAGATAGATCAAAACCTGTAATAAATTCAACTTTAACTCCATCTCCTCCTCGTCCCCCAAAGATAGATACTTACAAAACAGCTTCATCTTCAAAACCAGAGATCTTAAGGGCACAACCTGAGCCTCAAAAGCCAATAACACCTCCAAGAGTTAATCAAGACAAAGAAAAATCATATACAATAATACCAGTAATTCCTTCAATAGAAAACCAGGAAATAGAAAAACCATTAATTAAAAAACCAGTAAGCACTCAAATAGCCGATCATGAATCAGAAAAACAATTAGTTACCAAACCTGTAACACCTCCAAGGGTCCATAAAGAACTAGAAAAACCATCAAAACCTGTAACACCTCCAAGACTCCATAAAGAACTAGAAAAACCGTTGCCTACAAAATCAATAACACCTCCAAGAACATATTTAACACATCCTATATCTGAACCACAAACCTTACCTCCTCGAACACAGAAACGTCCGCAAAGTCCCTTAAAAGATCAAACTCCTCCAGCAAAACAACCTTCAAATCAAACAAATGCAACTATTTCGCAATTCACTCAAACATCACCTCCATCATCCCCTAGTGTTTTAGATGCTATGGGTTTAGGATCAGACAAAAATATTTCAAGAGGAGATAAACTATTTGAAGTATTATTCGGAAAAGTAAATAAAACACCGTATGATATTACTTTTTTAAAACAAATTATTGATTCAATTAATTTATCTTATCACACAGATTTTAAACGATTTAAACTTGTATTTTCTCATCATAGTATCAAATATCTGTCATTTTCGCCACAATTAGGTTATGTATTAGGATTTGCAAACCCTCAACATGTCCAAAATAATGAGATTGCCAAGTATGGGTGTGATTTAAGAGGAGGGTTTTCTAGCTTTGCAATCTACGCAAAGGGACTTACTGAAAATATGATTGTTGGAAATTCTCTCAGCTCCTTACTCCGAATCGTTTCAGTCACAGGAGCAGTACCTGGGGAGTACCACGAAAAGATTTATGATTCTCCCATCTATGTTAGAGTGCTCCCCCGAGAAGTAAATGAAATTGAAGTTGAACTAAGGACGATGGATAATGGTAGACTTGTACCGTTTGCTTATGGTACAGTCAGTATTGTTTTGGTCTTTAAGAAAGTGATAAATTTCTAAGACTATATAAACCCACGTTTTATTTTGTAATTATTTTTATTAATGATAAAAATGGTTCATGTTCAATTTGATACAAATTCAGTAGGGTACAATTTTGTTGTAGATCAATGTGGGAGTGGTGCGGAAAATTATTATTTTAAAGGAGCCTCACCATATCAGCGTGGATATGGGCAAAGAGGAGCAGGAATTGGAGATATTATGAGAGGGTTGTGGAGATTTTTTCTCCCGATTATTCGAAAAGTAGGTACTACAGTATCTACTGAGGCACTTAATACAGGACAGCGCGTACTTGAAAGAGTCCATGAAGGTCAGCCTATAAAGGAGGCATTAGTCAGTGAAGGAAAAAGAGGAATTGATACAGTCCTTGAAAAGGGAGGATTACCAAAACAATTTGGAACTGGAAGAAAAAGTATAAAAAGGAATAAATTTCCCTCCCATCAAACAGTTATTGGCCAAAAGAAAAAACGTGTAGACGCTTTTGGCTTTTATTAAGAATGTCTTTTAAAAAGATTGATAGAGATAGTCTTGATACAATTACAAACGCTGTAGAAATCTTTCAAGTTCCTCCTACTAATGTTACAATTTCATCCTCAAAAACATTTGAAATCCTTCCTAGTAATCCTTTGACAGACACCCTATCATTTTAAGATTCACTCAAGTGAAAATTTTATTGATTTATCCAAATGTTATCTTTTTACCGAATTTCGAATCCGTAAAGAAAATGCTAATGGACAACCTGTAAATATTACTCTTGATGAAAATGTTGCTCCCATACAGATGATAGGGAGCACATTTATTAATAATATGAGAATAAGTATAAATGGGCGCGAAATATTCAATTCAAACTCTCTTTACGCCTATAAGACGTATTTTTCCCACGAGCTCTCTTACTCTTTAGGAGCAAAAAGTTCTCATTTAAATGCGGCAGGGTATTATTACGATTCAGGTGTATCACAAGAGGCCGGAGCAAGTTTTAATTCAAGAAGAAATTTGTTTGTTAATAGCCGAACAGCTCAGTTTATTTCAAAACTTGATGCCGATCTTTTCAATCAGCCTCAATATTTAGTAAATCATTGTGAGGTTGATATTGAAATTTTGCCCAATGATACAAAATTTCTACTTATTGCTCCTCTCCCTGTTGGAGCTCAACCTACTCGCTATATTTTTGAAGTGATTAGTTGTAAGTTATATGTCAAGAAGCTGGACCTAATGGATGGTCTTGCTCTCGATATTGCCAGAAGGCTTGACGTTAAACCTGCTCGTTATGCTATTCGTAAGACAATGATGAAACCATTATTTATCAGCCAAGGAAGATACGAGTTTCATGCCAATCTATTCATGGATCAAATACCACGACGAATTACTTTAGGGTTAGTCGCCAACTCCGATTATGTAGGGACACAAGAGCGGAGTCCTTTCAATTTTCAATCTTTTAGGGTAAGGGAGATTAGTATTATAGCGAACGGTCGTTCATATCCCCAATCTCCATATGATTTTGACTATGGATCGAATCGATATGTGAGAGCATTTCATGACATGAATGATGCTATAGGATTTTCTGGTACACCTGAGAACAATGGAATAACATACCAGCAATATGGGAGAACCCACTGTATCTATGTTTTTAATCTTACAAATAGTGGTGAAGATAATGGTGGGACTTTCGATCTAATAAAGAATGGATCGACAGCTGTGAATATTAAATTTAGTCAACCTATTCCAGAGGGAGGAGTCATGCTCATAGTTATGGGAGAAACAGATGCCCTTATAATGTTAGATAAAAATCGATCTATAACAAGTGACACCACTATATAAACCTAAAAATTGTTCATTTTTATTTCATACTTAATAAAAAATGTTTTTTAAAAGATTTGCCAAAGTTTTATTCTTAATTAGAGTTTTTACTCCCTATGTAAATACTCTAAGTACTGATGGGAGTGTAGATGTCCAAAATCTTCCAGAATACAGAGAATATTTACGTAGAATGGGATATCCCCCAAAGAGGAACAATACTGCTACAAGTATACCTCCTCCTCATATCTCTGCTCCTCAACCTTTTGGTAGTCTTCCTCCAATTCAATTATGTAAGGAGACACCTGGAGATATTTATGGGCACATATTTTGCTGGGGGATGATTTGTTTGTATGCACTGCTTATTATAAGTCTAATCATTTATCAACTTCGATCAATACTTTGGGTTAAATTAAATATTTTGCAAAACAATGTACAGCAGCCAGATAACTCAAATTTTGAGAGCAAATCAAAGGACGAGCAAAATTTTCGAGGGGTGCTTCCCTTGTGACTTGCTCCCTTCTCCTAATATTTTGAAATGGCCTACAGCTCTTATTGTCAATTTAGATTCTCATAATATGGAAGGGTCGCACTGGATTACACTTTATTTAGAAAAAGACCAAATATTTTATTTCGATAGTCTTGCATTACCTATAAGCTCATGTATTGTTAAATCATTTTTAAAACATTTTAAAAATGTAAAAAGTAATTTTAACTCGTACCAATCACCCCTATCAACAAATTGTGCTCACCACTGTATTACCCTAATATATTTTTTATCCCAAGGCTACTCCTTTTGCGAATATTTAACATTATTAGAGTCAATTAATAATACAGATTTATTTGTAAATAAAATTGTAAATAAAATGATAAACAATTAATTATTATGTATTTCTAAATAACTTTTTGTAATTTTAAAACAATCTGGGCATAGATAAAATTCGTATTTAAAATTATGTTCATATTTGGGTAAAATAATTTCACACTGCATACGACTCAAAACAAACTTTAGGCAATCATGACACCACTTTCCAGCTCTGAAATAATTTATAAGTATGCTTAATCTCGCTCCCAGGTCAAGCTGAACGCCATCTTTGATAGCTTCGCTCAAAGCGTTCATATATTTCCTCTTGTTAAATTGTCTATATTCGCACGACCCGTGCATAAATTTAATAAATTCTTCTTCTGGAGAGCTGCTCATTTTGAGAAATTTTTAAAATGATTAATGAAAATGAGTAGAAATCAAAAATTCAATTCCTTGCACAAATTTGACCTACATATCAAAATGTAAACTTTCAAAATATCAAAAAACGGGAGTATATAAGAAAAGAAATTCTTGGAAAAAAATTCATTCTCTTCAAAAAAATGAATTCTCATTCCTCTTCCAATAAAGTCATTGACGAATGCACGCGAATTTTGGGGTGCTCTGCAAAATCCTTAAGAGACCACCTCAACCATCCTGATAACCGTGTGCTTATCTTTAAGGAAATACTCGGTCGAAAAGTCCAAACGATCTATGAAGATCAAAATGGCTTTAAGAAAACTTTTCTTATTGATGGCCTAACTCGACATGGAGGGAATTCTCTCGTCGCTTATGGGAGATTACCTTTTCCATACAATGTGAGCGTTGCTGCTCACTACTATGCTCGACACCGGATTCGTTTACGATATCCCTACTTGCAATGTGTCATTGAGCGCTTTCCATTTGGAGGAGAGGACCGATATTACCCAATGGAGTTGCTCGAGTTTGTGCCAGAACAAGAGGATCGAATAGCAGGCAAATGGATGAATCAGCTTTCCAATGATTTATCAAACAAACTAAAAATATCTCAAGAGCCAAAGAGTCCAGTGACTATTTTGAAAAAAGATCAAGACAATAATTTTGAACTTTGGTAATTATTTGTAATCAATTTATTTTTGAATAAAAATTTTTAAAAACATTTAAAATTTGTATCAAAAACACAAGCGACTCCTAAAAATACGCGCGCATGCCAAAGACACGCACGCATACCTAAGATTCATAAATAAGAATAAAAAATAAAAATTGCATATTCTTTATCAATATATTCTCTTTTACCCCTAATATCAACCATTTCATTCTGTAAACTTTGCTTTTTCAATAAATTTTTTCTAAATTATGCACACTTCTCCCTAAAATCTTTTATTTAAAACTCAAAACTATGCTCATTAGTTTTCTCAACCTCCTAAAAGTGCATTTTCCCCCTAAAATCTTCTAGTTTTGACATAAAAAATGAACTTTTTTTACTCTGTGATACTTTATAGAACTGGTTTAACATAGTATTAAATGTGTTTTCAGTTATAGGCCGAAGTGGTATCCAGATATCCGTATGTAGCAACTCACTAATTAGAGTACATCCCAGCATTTCTGGTTTGACTCCTTTAGCCCGCGCATTTGATACGGCATCATCGAAGCAATGTTGAAAAATACCACCAAGAAGAGTTTCCGGGTCGGCTGGAATATTCTTTATCAAATATTTTGAATAGCTTTTGACAATTTTAAAATTTTCAATGTATTGAATATTATCCTCAAGTTTTTCAACATATTCTTCTGGAGCTCCTTCTCCTGTTTGATCTCTAGAAAGGAGATTATCAATAGAAAACGATCGCACGCCTCTAGTAGGAAGATTAGACATTATTCAATAAAGCAAAAAAATCAATAAAAATTTAAAAAAGTAAATAAATGTTAGAAAAAATCGCCACCCTTTTATACTCTGATTTTCAGTGGATTACAACATTAATCAAAACTGACACGGGTTAAAAACACGAACATACACAAAACACGCGCACCCCAAAAACACGCGCGTACATCTAAAATGTACGCGCACGCATATTTTAATGCAAATTACAACTTATTTTGCTTAAATATGCACTTTTACCCCCAAAATTTACTACTTCAAACTCTAAACTATGCTTTTTACAACTTGTAATGCTTAATTATGCACTTTTCTCCCTAAAATCATCAACTTCTAAAGGTTAATTATGCTCATTGTATCTTCTAACACTTAAATATGCACTTTTCTCCCTAAAATCTACCACTTTAAAACATTAATATTGCACATGTTTTTTTATAAAAACGATAAAAATTATTGCAAATAATAAACACGAACACTGTTTGGCTAATTACAAAGAACAATTTGATTATTCGATGAGGTAATAGATCACTTGTTGAATGGTTCTATAAGATTGTAACAAGATAAATGACACTTCAAATTTAGAAAATACTTTTTCTCCACTGTGTACTTACCCTTCAACACCACAACTCTACCGATATGTCCTCATCCTTTTGATTTTGTCAGACCCCTCTACTCCATGATGGTGATTGTTCACCCGCAAAGGAAAGGAGAGGAGAGGATAAAAGGAGAAGAGAAGATGATACGAGAGGAGATGAGTGAGTAGGAAGAAAATGGAGATTAAAGGAGTAGGAGAAAAAGAACGAGAGGAGTAGGATATGGAGAGGAGGAAGGAAATAGTATCATGGAGGAAGAACTGAGAGGAGAAGATGAGATCAGAGAAGATGGGAGGAGTAGGAGGGAGGAGGAGGAGGAAAAAATAGAGAAGATGAAATTGGGAGGAGAAAGAAGGAGAATGAGGAGAGGAGGAGTAGTATCAGAGAGGAGAAGATGAGAGGAGTAGGATAGAGGAGGAAAGGAGAAGTCGAGATCAGATAAGATATGAGGAGTATGAGGGAGGAGGAGGAGGAGGAGGAGGAGGAAGAAGAAAATATCGGAGAAGATAAAATGGGGAGGAGAAAGAATAAGGAGAGGAGGAGTAGTATCAGAGAGGAGGGATGAGAGGGGTAGGATATGGAGAGGAAAAGCTGGTTATCACCGACCTGTCAAAGTGATTTGACTTCAAGTCAAAACAAATGAAAAGGATTTGTCTTAAAAGTCAAAAAGTCGGCCACGACGACGACGTAAAAGGTCAGCTTTGACCACCCGCTCAAAAGGTTTTGATCTTAGGTCAAAAGGATTTGACTTTCTTATTGCCACCCGCGACAGTGATTTATACAATTATCCTCCCTCACATCCACTTTCAAAAGGTTTCTCATCCTTTAGATTTTCCCCTCTAATAGGTCAACATACTCTCTCCTTTTGTCTGACCACCCCCCAAATATTGGCATTCTCTTTTCTTTTCCCCTCCTCCCCCACGACGCTGCCGAAATGTCCACTCCCTTTAGGTTTATGTGACCTCAACTCCTCCACGACGCTGCCGACATGCCCTCTCCCTTTAGGTTTTTTGCCGCACTATTCCCGACATGTCCTCTCCCTTTTGGTTTTACCAGACCCCGCCACCCCCACGACAGTGAGATCAAAAGGATTAGGTTAGTGACAGCCACGACACCCCCGCACCTATGACTACTAAGAGGATTTGGGATATACCTCCTTTATCTACTGATATCCCTCCAAATCCCTTGATATCCCTACAAATTCTGCTCAAGCACTTCAAATCCCCGATGACAAAATTAAACCGGCCGAATCCCTTTTAAGAATTTTTTCTTTGGAAGATATTTTGTTAAGTTCTAGACGGGAAGAGTTTTGTCCTGGCACGATTTTGAACTTACTAATTTGCTACAAAAGAAAATATTATGGTTTGTTATATTTGTTTGCAAAGCAACACTTCCCCCTTAAAAATTATATTTTTTTAAATTAAGTAAATATCAAATTCTACTTTCATCCCATCCAAGAGCTCCATAATAAAAATTAATTGAGATGTTTCTATCCAAATCTCTAACTTTTCCCTTCACACTAATATATTCATCTTCTTTTAAATTTTCAATTTTTGTTATGGTTGTCGGAACTGGTTTGGATTTATATTGAGAACATCTTTTTGCATCATTGCCAAATTTAACATTATCCACATTTCCTTTTACCTGAAAGGATTTTTAATAGAATTTATTTTATGAATATACCGTAATCCAATTAACCATCCAGTCGGGAGCCACATAATTATATTTAACATAATTTTTTCCATCATTGAATCTGACCTTGAAGCAAGTTTCTTCTACATATATCCGAACAGTAAAGTCAACGCCCGATTGCCCAATTGGATTTGAATATTTTTTCTCATTTAACTCACGTTTTGTAAACAACAGGCTACTCATTTTAAGCGATGATTCTCCATAATCAGACGAGAATTGGAATTCCATCTTTAATAAAGTGTCGCCAACTGAAATTACATATGTATGTAATTATAAATATTAATTGGAATTCTACTCAAAATGGAATCAAAATTCCCAACTTACAACGCTCTGAATCCTCATTTCTCTCATGCATCAAATTTATTTCAAGTCTCTCTTTTCCTACAATATTAGTTGATGGGAGCAAAGTACCTTCAAAACAGATAATTGACCCATTATAAGGCAAATGGTCTAATTCATGTTTGTAGATTTTCTTTTTATCCTGTGTATCCCTTTCCTTAAAATATTCATTTAAATTTTTAAATAATTATAAAATTTATTATATATAAAAGTCAGAAAAAGTTATTAAATTTATTATTTTTTATAATTCTATGACAGTTGAAAAATTTTAAAAATTAATTTTTTATTAACTTACAGGGGAAGTAATGAATGGCTCTTCTAGGAGAACGGCATCGCCTTTTACCTAAATATATCTCATAAGTTTAGAATTATTCAATCTATTATAAATCGAGATATGTAGAATATAAAAATCTTAAACAAAATATTCCAAAATTACATTAACTTAATAGAAGATAAACATTTATTTTACAGACCTGTATCCAATTTGTCGACCAAAAAGGATATCCTCCTAAATAGCGACAGCATTCTTTGTTGTTTATATATATTGTAAACATTGCTACTTTTTCTGGATCAGCATTATTTAACATTTTAATTGTGATTTGAAATGGTTTTGCTATTAAAAATTTTGGAGTTCCTTGTAATTTTACACTATCATTATGATACATGCCTTCCTATATTATACGTTATATTATTTAATATTTAGTTTTATTTTACAGAAAATGATGTGAGATGAGTAATATTTTTCTTATAATTAACATCAATTAACAAAGCTGTAGCACCAACTTAAATTAAGAATAAATATAACCAAAATTAATTTAAATTTAAAAAACCATTTTTATTAAATTCAGGGGAATCATGCAAAAGTAAAACTTGGAAAGTGTTGGCATCTTTATTAATTTCTACTCTAATAGTGGCAATTGATCCATCAGTCATAAAATTGTTAAATATGCGGTTGGAGTGTGGCAATTTAATGTTTTGAATTTTCTAAAATTAATTAATATTTTTTGTATTTTTAATGTTATTTTTTTGTTTTTATTTTTATTTTTTTGTATTTTTAATACTATTAATGGAACTCTGAATATATTGAGAAACAGAATATCCTGACTTTAGAATATCAAATATGTAGGTAAATGTAAAATTCTCTTATCTGCTTCCCTTATCATTTAATCGATTTGCTTAAGTTGTTCCTTGAATAATTGACAAGGATAATATTGCTTAAAACGGTAGTTGTTAGGGGTAATTAATACTAGTGTTCGGCAAATGGATTTTTTCGGTACCGGTACCGGTAGTACCGAAAAGTACCGATACCGAATTAGTACCGAAAATTCCAAAATCTTATCGGTACCGTACCGGTACTGGTAGTACCGAAAAGTACCGAAACCGAAAAGTACCGATGAAAAATTTTCGGTACTACCGCGGTATTTCGGTACTCAGAATAAAATGATATAATATCAAAATCTGGACTTATAAATGTGTTAATTGATGAGTAACAGTTCGATGTGCCTAAAGGATCGTTGTTATAGGGATATCAAGGGATTAAGAGGGATATCGGGGGGATTTCGCTGGATTTGAGCGTATTAAGATTGCTTTATGAGATGTATAGCCTGTAACTTCTTTATCTCTCTAAATCACATTATATGACTCCAAATCCACCGATAACTATATTATTCTTTCGATCTCCCTCCAAATCCTCTTATATCCCTACCAAAATATTAATACTGTCAAATCCACCTGTAATCCTAATATCCCTAGATCTTTCTAATCCCTCTATACTACTACTTTTAAACCTCTCAAATCCTCTGGTATCCTTTTTAATCCTCGCTAATCCGCAAATATCCTCTTAAGATCTTTTAATTTCGTGGGATATATGTATGCGGGATTTCAGAGGATTGTGAGTAGGAATCCCTTGATATTCTTAAGCTTAATCGGGGATATCAGGAATATGAAGAGAAGGACTCAGAAATTCCAAAAACTGAAATGTAGGAAGGTTAAGAAGCTAGATTTCTTTTAGTTCTAGCGCCGCAGGCAAAAATTTTCGCTGTTTGATAGGCTTCAAAGCCAGATTTCTTTACTTTTGTGCGCAGCCGGCGAAAATTTTGAGAATTTTTGAAGTCCAAATGATAATATTTTTCATTTTTTTCTTCAAATTTCCCAGTACCGAAAAATCGGTACTACCGCGGTACTGAAAACCTCTTCGGTTCCGTACCGGTACCGGTAGTACCGAAAAGTACCGAAACCGAAAAGTACCGAAAATTCCAAAATCTTAGCCGTACCGTACCGGTACCGGTAGTACCGAAAAGTACCGATTCGGTACTTTCGGTAGTACCGCGGTAGTACCGAACCGTGCCGAACACTAATTAATACAGGATACTAATAATTCAAGTGAGGGTCATTGATGGAATTTTATCGTAGCCAAATCTGAGCAAGTCTTATAGCCTTCGAGTAATCAGGTTTATATTTAAAACTTTTCCCTCAAAAATTTAATGTTAACCTCATTTTCTGTTTCACTAATTGCATTAATCCGAATAAAGTCTCCCAACATAACCAACTTTTCATATATTAAATATTTTTTTCCATACCACCATTTACTATACCAAAATTTATTTGTGAATATTTTTGTTTCGTTTCCAATATTAAATTCACAATAAAATTTAAATATTTTTATTTTAATATTGAGGGTCATTCCTTCTCTCATAATATTTTCATTTGGCAAAATGTTTATTTTTGATTGGGACCAATCTCCATTTACATCCTAAATTTAATTTTTTTATTTCGAGTATCTCCGTAGATGTCTTAATAGAAGCCAATTTCAGATAGAGGCCCATGCCCAATAAGAAGCCTCTCATTATGACCCTTACAGAATGAAAGCACGGGGCTTTTATTAGAACATTTACGCTATATTTAAAATTAATTTTTCATAAACCCATACATTTTCCTCAAAATCAATTCTGTCTTCATAAAGATTAATTCCAATACTTCTTTCTTTATTATAAAGTTGGAACGTTGCTGTTGCATTAACATTATTAACAAATATTTTAAAATTAATTTCAATATTAATATTCCCAATTAAATTATAAGTTTCTTCTGTCTTGGTTTTGGGGCATTTTGCATTTCCAAACTCGGTAACTTCAAACCATTCCTTCAACATTTTTTTACTTTCTCGGCTTATTCTCTCTTCTCTCGTAAACTATAAAATTATAATATTTGTCAATTAAAACCCCTTCCTTCCCTACCCAAACTTTCATTGGACAATTACAGCCCCTATCAACATAAAAGCTGAGAACGTTGTCCATTTCTTTGGACAATATATCATATCCCAACATCCAAAATGTTGAATGGGCAGAGAATAGACGAGAAACATTAAAGGGGGCCCATTTCATCTCTTCAAAAAACTTCCTTTTATGCTCCACATCCTCCTTATATCTATTCATAGCCAGCCCTTCTTGAAATTTAAATATTTTTTATTTACTGTGAAAATCATTTCTCTACCTTTTTCAATGACAATAAGCCTTGTGGTGAATTCTTTTTCACCAATTCTGATTGAAAATTGCTCCTCCGATCCGATGTCATATCTTTAAATTTATGAAAAAAATCTATTTATTTTTTTCTTTTTTTTAATGTCATGGAAAAACTAGTAGAAGGCAGAATATGGAAGATAAAATACCCTCAAATTAAGAAAATATATGTATTTATTAACCCTCCAGTTATTAATTAAATTTGAATTTTAAATAAAAAAATATAACTTCATTCTGAAAAGTGAGGAATCCATTCTCGTTTTGTTGTTATCCGCAGCAGTTCGATGGATGTAAATTCCATGCCACGGAACAAAAGATGATGGGATATCCGATGCCAACCTACAAAGGCTATCAAGTCCTTTTCCACTACTACAATATTCCTTTCTTTTATTTTCACACATATAGCCCACATTGTTCTTAATTTTATAATTACAGTCGGACTTTTATAAAACATCGGTACTTTATGGATATATCACCCCCCCCTCCTATTTTGAGTCTCAGAGTTTTCTCTATGAATAGAAAATGGTCAGAGATTATTTTCTTCTCCATGTCAATCATTTTTTTACTCCAAGCAAAATAAGTGGAATGATAGTACAAAAATTCAAAAAAATGTGAAAAAGCAATAAAAAAAGCAAAATGAGTGAAAAGAGGTAGTATTTAATACGCAAGTACATTTGAATTAAAATCAGTTTTATGTCAGATATTTAATCTTTTTCCTTTTTTTCCAAATATTTATAGAAAAATGAACTACGATCAGTTAATTTCCCAAATTAACGATCTTGGAGAAGGAGACAGAGACCTAGGTTGTATCCGTTATTTTCAGCAGCGTGGAATTATCCATCAAGAAAGAATCTGTGGTAAATGTGGAAACGAAATGAGGATTTCTACAGCTCGCGCCAACTACGTATGGCGGTGTAAATTTAAACGATGCAAAGCAACAAAGGGTAAAAAAATGATTGACATGGAGAAGAAAATAATCTCTGACCATTTTCTATGCATAGGGAAAACTTTGAGACTCAAAATAGGAGGGGGGGGTGATATATCCATAAAGTACCAAAACATCACCCTCGAGACTAGCGGGAAGTTAAATATGAGAGGAGAAAGATTAGTCTAAAATACACCTCTCGAGACCGATATGAGCCAATGTAAAGGGGTTGAATGAGGGTTCCATTTAAATCTTTATTCACTTTCTTTGTGTTGTACACTCGGTAATCAAAATTGGTGACGAGGCCTCGTTTCTTGAAATTTCCGTCCAACTGTCCAGGATAACATATCAGCAAACTGATTAATTTTTAAATACATAATTTTAAATTAATAAATTACCCATCACAAAAATATCCAGCCTTAATGTAAAAATTGATGGAATAGAGGGCCAAGTTTTCATAATTCGGGTTGCGCATACAATGATCCTGGTGGTGGTAATGGATGGCAAATGAATCATTTTCCATTGTCGTTAATTTCACTCTTTTAAAAATATGATAATTTTTCTTAAATTATTTTCTCACATTTCAGTCCTCAAAACATTATCTTCCACAAAATCAAAACCATTTATTTTTATTAAAATTATTAAAATAGAAAAACTCAAACAGAAGCAGTTCATTTTTATTTTTTAAAATTAATTAAAGCTTGTTTAAACTGAAAAGAAAATTGAAAATTTTTATATAAAGTTGAACAAAAATTTATTTAAAAATGACTGCGATTAATTAAATCTCTTCTTTTTTTGTATAAAAATTTTATTTAAAAACGTAATGAATAATTAATGGTTATCTGATCAAATATTTTAATTAAAAATATTTTAACGTTAGAAGTTATCATGAATCATTTACATATTTATTTAAATTAAATCCAATATTTTTAAAAAATATAGAAATTAATCTATGTGTGTGGTAAACAGGAAATAATTGGGAATTTATTAGAAAATTACCTAGACCATAAACATCATCAGCATCATCAAAAAAAAATAAAATGAGAAAATCGGTTTTTTTAATTTTTATGAGTCATCCAATATTTTAGATTAATATCTAATAAATATTTTTACAAATTATTTTTAAAAACTTTTTAAAATTAACATGGAATCTGGTATGTGGTTGTATGTATGTCTTAGAGAAGAAACAAAAAAGGAATAATCTTTATTAAAAGACTAAATACAAGAATATTGAGGGTGAAGAATAATGAAAGATAAACGGTGATGATCGGTCCAGATACCAATCAAAACTTACAGAATGACCAAATAAGTGGTTTAAAATTAATTGAAAAAGTCAATGAAAACAAATAATTTAAAATAACTTTACTTCTCTGATAAATTGAAACTTTATTTTCGACATATCAAATTTACTGTTTCAATTTAATTAAAAATGTAAATAATGTAAGATCTTTGGAAATAACGAAGAAAATATTTTTAAAAGTTCCGCAGAGGAACATAAGATATTTTTAAAAAATTTTTGCTATGTAAAAATTCTCCAGATATTGCAAAATATGAAAAAAATGGTACTTGTGGGTTATCCCTAGAAACTTCTTGCGGATATTTTTTGCGGACACAATTGTACGGAATGGTAAGTTTTTTCCTTCCTTCTCTTCTATGCATTTTTCAACCAATCAAACAAGAACTAAGATTTATAATTTTTAAAAGGGGTATAAATGTTTAATTTTTTTAGAAAATTTGATTTTAAACACGCAAAAGTACCAGAAACGCGCAAAAACACAGATTATTAAAGTTAAAACATAGAGCTGGTACTCATTTCCATTGAAATAACTGAAATAGATAAAAACAAAAATGTTAATTCAAACGTTATTTCAATTTTGTAGACATTGGAAAAAATTAATCTTTTCTTTGTTAAGGAAAATTGAGTTAAATCGAGGAAGAATGACCATTCTGTCCATAATAAGGTTGATTGGTGATGGAAAAGGAAAAAAGGGCTTGGGTCTATTTTCTTTTCCACACGCATCAAATTTAATCTTTAACAAGGGAAAAAACTTACCATTCCGTACAATTGTGTCCGCAAAAAAAGTCCGCAAAAAGTTTGTAGGGATAACCCACAAGTACCAAAAAAATTATAATGTTTATCTAAAAAAATTTTAAAAGTGATTTTAAAATCAAATAAATGAAATACATTGCTTGGACGCTGGAATTTCAGGATCCGCCCAGAACTGTTATAGACTGTAAGGATAAGATAAGAATAAGCTAAGCGATAACTAGGAGAACATAAAAAATTTGGGCAGATCCAGTCCAGTACCGAAATAAAAAATATAAGATTAATTATCAAAAAATTCAGCAATAAACGCGCTCAAATTCAATGTTTTTTGAATACTTCTCATATAAAATGGAAAATTTAATTTTTGGATTATAAATGTTGGATAGTTGGTATTTTGACATATAATCACGCGCCTCTTCAATCTTTTGAGCTTTTTCATTTAAACCAGCAAAATTAATATTAAGATTACTAACATTCTCTAATGTAATATTATCCACTATTTTTAAACAATCTTTTGACGTTTTAATATGCTAAAATAGTAAAAGTAAAAAAATTGAAATTTAGTTAAAGAATAAATATATACCGTAAATTCTCTAATAGAAGCACATGTGCTTCTATTTTTTAATCCTCTCGTAGGTCAAAGGTAACTAATAGGGGTTGCCTGATTTGCCTTTCGCGGACTTTAGCATTTCGCTTTTTAAAACTTACCTATTTCGGCACACTCTTGGTAAATAACTTACTTCGACAATATCTTCATAAAAGTTTATAATAAATCCTGGAGAATCAAACATCAAATGAACTTTTTTAAAATTGTCTCCTCCACTTAATAAAATTTTAAATAGATCATTCTTATACATTTCCATAATCTCATTATTTGGATGAAAATAAATTTTTTGAAATTCACAAGCTAAATTATTCAAAATAAATTGAAGTAAAATATCAATATTGTAAGCAGCAATAGAAATATTGCAATTCTGAACGTAAAATTGTTTAGATTTTCCAAATAATAATTGAATCAATTCTGGATTGAATATAAAGTCTTCAAAATAGGAACATTTAAAACAACATTTAAATAATTTATTTAAATAATAATAAACAATTTTCAGGTCTTTTTCGTTTTTGATAATTGTTGGTAGTTTAATTATATATACTTCAATGTTTACAACTGAAAATTCTTCTAATTAAAAGAAAATTTGGTAAAATAGAACTTCGTTACCGCTTTTTTCTCTCCCCAAAATATTAAAATATTAGCTTAAAATTAGGATTAACCATTACTCTATGGCTATGAGGACACATTCTTCTTTCTAGGACCAATGCCTACATTGGGTGTGTGCGCATAGTACCGGAGCATTGTTACTAGAAAGCGTAACGGGTACTACAGGGTACTACAGTAAAATATTTCAATATCCTAGGGTTTATAGAACTTTTCATTGGGCCTATCTGGATTCCAGATAGGCCCAATGAAAAATCTATAAGCCCTAGGGGGTTAAAATATATTTTGTAGTATTGCGGTTTATGTGTTTTGAGACTACGGGCATGCTCTCATTGAATATAACACAAATAATGAAATTGAGAAAGGTAGACCGTCTGACCATTTTGTACATATTAAGGAAAAACATGGGGAAGAAAAGAGGGAAATCCGGAATCTTAGTTTTACCTGCCAATTTTTTAAACGAAATATGACCTTTAGTTAAGC